ACACACACACACACACACACACACACACACACACACTAAGGCTGCTGTCCTCTTGCTTTGAAGGATAAACAAAAGAAGGAGAAATCAGGAAAAACAGGATGAATTTCATCATTCTGTCTCATACATACAATTCTTTTACATAAAGTGTAAGAAAAATTGGTTACAATTACCACATTTAAAAAGTGACTACTAGGCCAGGGATTTAGCTCAGCGGTTCGGTGGCCTGCCTTGCAAGAGCAAGGACCGGAGTTCAATCCCTGGTACCACAAAAAAAAAAAAAAAGATTAACTACTGGAATATATCAGAGCATACAAAAGATGTGTACATAAATCCCTTATTATTACTATTTTCCTGAAGTTTAACACATTTATACAAAAGAGGCAAGTAAGAAATCACACGGTTGTTTTGTTTTGTTTTTCTTGGTACTGAAGATCAAACTTGGGACCCTGTGCTCCTGCAGTATTTTAATTGAGGTTTTATCTTTGTCTTCTTTGCAGAAAACACATACACGTACATTTAATTTTTTTTTTTGTGGTACTGGGGATTGAACTCAGGGCCTTTTCCCTGAGCTACTTCCTTAGCCCTTTTTCTTTTTTCTTTTTTTTGGCACTGGGAATCAAACAGCTCCCTGCACTTGCAAAGCAGGTGCTGGAACCACTGAGCTAAATCCCCAGCCTATCCTAGCCCTTTTTAATTTTTTGTCTTGAGACAGGGTCTAAAGTTGTCCAGGCTGCCCTTGGACTTGTGATCCTCCTGCCTAAGCTTCGCAGAAGGATGGAATTACAATTGTGTGCGACCACACTGGCCTCCATACCAGGGACATTCGTCATTGATTTGAATGACAGTTCTTTTGCTATAACTTAAGACAGCAAAGTTTAAATTTTAGGAAGGAAAGAAAGAAAAACTTTTTTTAATTTTTGAAGCAAAGTCTTAGTTTTATAGTTTAGGCAGGCTCTGAACTCACTATGTAGCTCACGCTGGCCTCAAATTCACAGTGATCCTCCTCTCTCACCCTCCTATGTGCTGAGATTGCAGGCATGGGCCATCACACCTGACAAGAAAAACATTTATAAACATTTTTTTTCCAGGCTGGGCATGGTGCACACATCTGTAATCCCATCACTTGCTTGGCTGAGGTCAGAAATCACCATGAGTTTACACAGTTTCCATTAGCAGATTTGAAAGATGAATCTCTAACTTAGGGCCATGCTATAATAGGAAAAGTCTTATATTAATTGGCCTTCTACACATGTGGAACACAATGTAAATAAAGGAATAATTTTAAAATTTTGAAATATTCTTCCATCTAATATTATGCATTGGTTCCATAGGCTTTGTAGCTGAGCAGTTTCTAAACAATACAGCCACTCAACTGACATACCATGGATTGTGTGAACTAACTTCAACCGTTCAGGAAGGAGAACTCTGTGTGTTCTTTCGGAATAATCATTTTAGCACCATGACCAAGTACAAGGTATGATTTAAAAAAATAGCTATTTAATTGTTATTTAAATAGCTATTTAATTGTTATTCTGAATCAAAGCTTAATTTAGAGATGTATTTAATCTGGTTAAAGTTAAAGATTTTAGTATAATGTTTCTCAACCATCAAATTATGAAGGTAACTGTTAAGTACTTCTTTAGAAGGGGATAACTAGCAGTTGAAGCATTATCTCAGATCAGGCTTTATTTTTCAATTCTGAACTTTTTTTTTCACAGACTACATTAAGAAGTACTTACTATTTTCTGAGAGCAAAAAAGTACCTAGAGATAGAACTAGGATGACTTTTAATGATGGCTGTTTATATTTGAACACTAAAGGAAATTAGAAGAATTAAGATTGGCATTAAACTGAACATAATAGTATGTGCTACACTATCATTCATTGTGAAGCCTGAGGCAGAAGGATGTTGAATTTCAGGCCAGCCTAAACAACATAGTAAGACTTAGTATTTAAAGAAAAAAAAAAGAAAAGGAGCCAGGTGTGGTAGTGTATGCCTGTAATCCCAGCATACAGAAGGCCGAGACAGGAAGATCATGAGTTCAAAGCCAGCATGACCCCATCTCAAACAAAAAAGTTTAAAATTGAAAAAGTACTTTTATAATAGTATTTGCTGTACCAGTCTTACTTTAGACTCTTCCTATAGTAGTATCTGTGGCTCTGCCAAAAAATAAAAAATACTGATTTACCCTTTTATGTTATCTTTTGCATCTGTCCCTTTGGTGTTTGAATGTGCCCTGGTTCCTTGTATCTAACTTTTTTGTTTGTTTTTCTTTTTTTTTTTTTTGGTACTGGGGATCAAACTGTAGACTTTGTACTTATGAAGTAGGCTGCAGCACCACTGAGCTAAATCCTCAGCCCTGTTGTATCTAACTTCTGAGGTGGATGGCTGCTCCCAGCCACATCCCTCCTGTAGCACCTAGTGCCTGGAGGGTAGAGTGCAGGATATGCTCTGCTGCTCGCCTGTGCCAACATGCTGCATGCACAATGTTGTCTTCTCACATAAAATCCTCCATCCCCACACACTCTACACTTTCTCGTTTCTATGCCTTTACTGCTGTTGTTCTTGCTCTTTAATCCCTGTTTGCAGAGATCTCATTCCTTTTTGCTGATCCTAGTATGTGCAAGGCCCTGGGTTTGAGCACAGCCCGCCTCCACTCCCATCTTTTAAGAAGCACTTCAAATATGAGGTTGGCAGTAAAGCTACCCCTTCTCTACTTAAACCAATGATTCTCAACTCAGTTTATGTATTAGAACTTCCTGGGGGACTTTTAAAAAATTGCCAGTGCCCAGAACATACCATTAGTTCATTTAAATCAGAGTCTCTGGAGGAGGGACCTGAGCATCATTTATTTTGGTTTTGGTTTGGAGGTTTTGTCTTCTTTTGCAGGGAGGGTTGCTTTTTTGGTGCTGGAGATTGAATTTAGGGCCATGTGCTAGGCAGGCTCTCTACTGCTGAGCTGCATCCCCAGAGGATGGTAATCATTAAGTGAATGTGCCAGTTGTGTGATTTTTCTGTATTATAGGCATAGGGAAAGTATCTAGCTTGTCATTTTAGGTTCAGGGCTTTATTAAGGGACAACAACAAAGAATACAAGAACAAAAGAGTTCAGCGATATGATGGTATTAAGGGTATAATGATGTTGTCCAAAGTTACAAAACACCTTTATTCTCTATTGTTATAGACAAAATAATGGGAACAACATCATAGTAGCCAGTCACTAAGGAAAATGCCATTGTTTATTATGGAGACTACCAAATTAAAATAGTAATACTGTTGTTTTTGTGATTTATGTATAAGTTGTTGTGTTGTGTTTTGATCATGCCAGGGATTAAAAGCAGAGTCTCACACATTAGGCAAGTGTTCTACCATTGAGCAATGCCACTATTGCCAGTAACACAATTTTTTACATTTTTGTCTTAGAAAAATCACAGAGTTACAGAACAGCAGTGAAACATTTAATAATTTTAACATTATGCTGTTTTCACTTCTTTTTATATTTTTGTTGCTTATTGTTCTGTATACATCACTAGACAAGAATGTTTTCATTTCAAATCACAGTATTATTTCACATCTAATAAGATGAGCTAAAATTGTTAGTATCATCTAATACTTGGGCTGTAGACACATTTCTGCAATTTTATAGATGGTATGTTCAAGCCAGGATCAAACCAAGAATCATGCCTTGCATTTAGTAGAGTGACTTTCTGTTGACATGATCCCAATCTAGTTTTTTCCAGGGATCCTGTAGCCCTTTGGGCTATTTACTTATGCCTTATTATAATCCTCTTGGCTATTTTTCCTGTTTTTGTTGTACTGTCCGTCTTTTCAGTCTTTTGAGCTTTGGATAATACATTGCTTTACTGCTTGCTGGCAGAGTACCCAGTGAGTGCATTCTTGACGGGGCAGAGACACTTCCTCTTCATTGACCCAGAACTGATCTACAGCAGAATTGGTTCTGTTAATTTTGGCCTTGGATGTAGGACTAAAAGCTCTACAGGAATGCTTTAAATATTCTAGACCAAGGCCGGGGATTTGGCTCAGTGGTTCTGCCGCCTGCCTCGCAAGCACAAGCACATGAGTTCGATCCCTGGTACCAAAAAAAAAAAAAATTCTAGACCAAGGACTGGGGATGTCGCCTCAGCACTAGATCAGCACTGGATTGCCTTGGACACAGGAGGTGCTAGGTATAATCTTAACACCAAAACAAACAAAACACTAAACTAAAACAAGAGCCAGACATAAGCTGCATCTTAGGAGGCTGAAGCAACAGGATCACTTTACCCAACCGTTGGTGACTAGCATAAGCAGTGTAGCAAGACATTGTCTCAAAAAAAAACAAAACAAAACTGTGCATGGTGGTACACTGCTATTAGTCCCTGCACCTGAGGAGCTAAAGCAGGAGGAGCTTGGTGAGTTCAAGGCCAGCCTGAGTAATGTGAGAGACTGTCTCAAAAAAGTAAAATTAAAATCCCCTTTCAGGAATTTTACTTGACAAGAGGCAATCTAGGACAGAATGGAGGATTGTTCCTTTGTTCTATTAAATTTTTTTTAACATTAAACTTTCTCCCACAATTTCCTGGGCTTAGGCTGTTTATATTTCCTTAGAAAGTTGGGCCTGAAGGAATCTTTGCTAAAATAAGGATAAAGGTAACTTAGTGTATTGGTATATACCTATAATCCCAGCACTTTGGAAAGCTGAGACAGCAAAATCTTAAGTTTGAGCCCTTCTTTGTCAACTTAGTGACCAAAATTTGGGGGACAGGGTTGAGACAGGTTCTTGTTATGTAATTCAGGCTGGCCTCAAACTCATAGTGATCTTCTGCATCAGTCTTTGAGTCCTGGGATTACAGATGTGCACTGCCATGCTGGGCATTTAAAAAAAAAAAAAAAAAAAAAAAGCTCTTTTAAGGGCTAGAAATAAAGTTCAGTGCAAAGGCCTGTGGGTTTAATCTCCACCAAAAAAAATTTTTAAAGAGAGGAAGAAACATAAAACATAAATAATAAAAAAATAGCTGCTTTTTCAAACAAGATAAGACTACTTTAATACTACATTACATTTCATACTGCCTTCTAGTATTTACTTTTCAAAAACCCAGAGTTTTTAGAGGCATTTTGTGATTCATAATTAATGAACATTTTAGTTCCCATCTTTCTATCCCTGTGAACTCTTTGGAACATCTATAGTATAAATATATTTCATTCTACAGAATTTAAGATACATTTTCTTTTATTATTATTTTTTGAGTCGAACTCAGGGCTCATGCTGGCCAGGCAGGCATTGTACGGCTGAGGCACATCCTCCCAGCCCTAAGATACACTTTCAACCAACAATAAATTTAATATCTGGATAGTGGTGTCTATAATTAAGGGGCTTTTAAAAAAGGGACAACAACAATAATAATAACAAACTGCCAATCTGTAATAAACTGGACAATAAGACGGACAGTACAACAAAAACAGGAAAAATAGCCAAGAGGATTATAACAAGGCATAAGTAAATAGCCCAAAGGGCTACAGGATCCCTGGAAAACACTAGATTGGGATCATGTCAACAGAAAGTCACTTTGTATATATTTCTTCATTCATGATTTCCATAAAGGGTCTTTATATTTTCTGCACCGACAATCACTTATGTGTCATTATCATCTCAGGACCTGGACCAGCAAGGAAGGTCCATGATGGCAGGATAAAAAACGATTGCCTAGGAAAGGTCGTCTTCACTTTCTTTACTGGGTGTACTAGTTTTCATAGGAATTTATTAAACATGAAAAATATTTTGTCACCTAAAGTTTTTAGAACACTAGAGATGTGTGAGCTGTGGGCTTCTGTTTGACCAGAGCAAGGGTGTATTTGGTTCTAGTCGATTAGACATCTCCAGTACTGCATCTCTTCTAACTCCCTTATAGATTCTGGATAGAGGCGGGAACATGAGGTTAGACTTTTTGGTGACCCTCTGTACACCAAAGCATTGAGAAGTGTGTACACATTTCTGAAAGCTAAACCTAAACGAAACATTCTGTGTATTAACTTTATGATTCTACCTTCATAGACTTTGGATAAAGCCTTCTGCTACTGTAACATCACAATGGATGTATTAATTAAATTGACCTGTTTTTTTCCTGAATAATAACTGCCAAGCAACCTCATACTTACCAACTAGTGTAATAACTATGATTTTGATCACAGGTGCTGTTTTCTCTGATAGCAGATACTGACTTCCTTTTGTTAGAGCATCCTCATATCATTCCTAGTTTTGTGGTTCACCATTCCTAAACTCTAAATAAATACTTCTGTTTCTTCCTTCTGTAGGAAAGCAATGTGCTCTAGCCCTATGAGTTATTACCTCCATGAATCCTTCATTAAACTTTGCATCAGGCCAGGGATTTAGTTCAGTGGCACCAGGCCTGCTTCACAAGGGCAAGGTCCTGAGTTCTATCCCCACTCCCACCCCCACCCCCGTACCAAAAAAAACCAAAAACAAAAATTACATCCCTCATCTGCCCACTGACAACAAATAAGTATACCCCCTTTCTATACTGTATGCAGTTATCTTGCCAAATCCATTTTGAGTTCATGATTCTATAAAGATCTGTGTGGCACTGTTCAGACCCACGCCTGTGCACAATCTAGACAGGAACTGGAAAGTGTAACAGTACTCCTGTCATTCACATGGTCATTACTGGTGGGTTCTTGTCTTACTTAATTTTATATTTGAGGCCTAGTTAGTTAGTTTTATATTTGAGGCCATTTTATTTATTTATTTTTAATAATTGCTGTTCTAAACTTTTTATTTTATTTTATTGGTCTTTTGAGACAAAATCTCACTGTTTAGTTTAGGCTGGCCTTGGACTCCTTGCTATGTAGCCCAGGCTGGCCTCAAACTCATGACAATCCTCCTGCCTCAGCCTCCTGAGTGCTGGGATTTCAGGCCTGTGCCACCATGCCTGGCACCCATTTTATTTTTTGATCTTTCTTTTCCACTTTGTCAGTGTCTTCTTGCTCTTGACTAAGATAACTACTGACTGAACTAAGCCCCTTAGCTTCTGGATGCTTGGTTCCTTTTGGGAAATTTGAGAAGCTTCCTTCCATGGGATGCCCTCTGGATCCTCCTTTGCCTATCAGCCTTTGCCAATGCCATAACTGCTTTCCTTTTTCTTGGCTTTAAGTGACTGACACCTCTCTGGATTATACTCAAGCCTAAGGTTTTGGGGGTTGGTTTTATTTGCTTTTTTACTTTACATTTAGGGATTAAAAGTGAGCAGTATTGGACCAGGGATTTAGCTCAGTGGTTTCCGAGTTCCATCTCTAGTACAATAAATGAATGAATGAATGAATGATCGATTCATCCCAAAAGACACTATAGTATTTAATCTATTTATTATGTTGTACAGATCTGGCTGGTAAGAATAATTCATATACTATAAACATACAAATCAAAGTTTACCATAAGTATTTGCAGTTTTTGAAAAATTTAACATTCCTTTTGTATTTCTTATTAAGGGTCAGTTGTATTTGTTGGTAACAGACCAAGGGTTTCTGACTGAAGAGAAGGTTGTTTGGGAAAGCCTGCATAATGTAGATGGTGATGGAAACTTCTGTGACTCAGAATTTCATCTGAGGCCTCCTTCAGATCCTGAAACTGTATACAAAGGACAACAGGATCAGATAGATCAGGTAAATTTGTTTAAAATATTCATTATTTTCAAATGTTCAAAACTTTTGAACTAAAGATTCACTCATTAATGTATTTGTGAAGTTTCCCTGGCACGTCCTAAACAGGTAAATGGTCATCCTGTGTCTAGGTTATGCAGCTTGGTTGAGAGGTCATGGTAAGAAGTTCGAATTTTATTCTATCAGCCGTAGAAAATCTGTGCTGAGTGTTAAATATGGAAGTGGGATGATCTGCTTTACCTTTTTAAAAGACTGCTATGTGGAGGATACATACATGAGAAGGACACAGTTATAAGGAGAATCTGAACAAGAAGTGCTGATGGAATTAGCTGTGGCTGATGGAGATGGGGAGATGAGCACGTGTCTGATACATATTTTGACTAGTCAGAAAAAAAAGAAAAGAGGAAGTCCGGATAAACACAGTGGGTGAAGAGCATGTGCATCTTCTAACATTAGAGTCCAAGGTAAGGAGGGACAGATACTCATAGCAGGGCTGACTAGGGACAGAACTGAGACAGATGAGATTTTGCCTTCTATGTGGGTGGGCTACAGTCTTTATTACTCAGAGTATGGTAATGATATGAATTCTTCCCTGAATGAGGCATAAATACAGTAATGTTAAACAATTGGTATATATTTTGTTAATAACAATTTAGTTGCATCTAGGCTGTTCATTTAGCCCATTTTCAATGAGCAGTTGTATTCCTGTAACTATATCCTAGGGCTACAAAGAATTGTTCAAAAGTCTCCTCTAAGACTGAAAGCAAACTCTAACCTGTGAACCTCTCTAAAGTTAAAACAGCAAATTGGATCCTTCTAAGATATAATGGTATAGGATGAACATTCTCATTCCTAAAGGGAGGACCAAAGCAAGATCAAAACCCAGCAGGGCAGACGTTAAGTCCTGTAGCTCCATGTCGTGCACTCAGAGGACATGGTGACACTTTGTGAGCTCTGAAGAGTTTGGGCTGCTGGACATGGTGGCACACTCCTATAATCCCAACACTCGGGAAGCTGAGACAAGAGATTGTTTTGCGTTCAAGGCCAGCCTGGGCTACATTGTGAGTTCAAGACTAGTCTGAACTACATAGTAAGACCCTGTCTCAAAAAAAAAAAGGGGGGCTGGGGCAGCCCCATCCCTATGGCCTTGCTGGTCACAGCCCGCATGGCCTTTCTCTTGAGCTGGTTTCACCTGCTTCCGCAGCTTTCATCAACACATTCCATATTCTCTAGCATCCCAGTCTCCACTACAGCTTTGGCTCTGCTCTCATAGTTTCACGCATCTTTTAGAAGCTCCTAGAAGGAGCTCTAACCCTGTGACACATAGCATGGTCTCTTGGGGCTTTCTTTGAAATATGGGCAGAAGCCTGGTGAATGGTGCCCAGGTCTGCTGTCAGTACAAACAATATTCTGGTCACCTGGGCTGGGGATTTAGCTTAGTGGGGCCACCACCTGCCTCGCAAGTGCAAGATCCCAAGTTCAATCCCTGGTACAAAAAAAAAAAAAATCTGGGCCCCTCGGAGCACAGAAGCTTCCGTGTCTGGGGAGCCAGATTCCAGGAAACATTTCCCTGAGTATCCCTGAGGAAGCAGGGTACCCAGTGACTTTTTCTCAAAGAAAAGTCAGAGGACCCTTGAGCCTGTGATCCCTGGAGTCTTGCTAATTCCTGAATGCCCTTAAGGTCTCTTTTGTCTTGTTCTGGTACAAAGCACTTATTTTATTTTATTTCACTTATTTTATTTATTTCACTTATTTATTTTTATTTATTTCAGGGTGGCCTTGAACTCACTATGTAGCCCAGGATGGTGTGAATTCACAAGGGTCCTCCTACCGCAGCCTCCGTAGTGCTGAGATTACACGCATGTGATACCACACCCAGCTCAAAATACTTATTTTTTAAATGGTGTGATTCTCTTCAGCAGCTACACCTTCTTTAGCTTCAGTGTTATATCTGCTTTTCTGGCCTAACTAAAAATGTTTCAGGTTTTTCTGCTCATGATTCTCACTATAAATACAAAAAACTAAAAAGCAGCCAGGAAACAGGACTTCCTTGAAAATTCCTCCTCAGGCTCAGTGGCACACCACATTTAACCTCAAAGTACAGTAAAGTCTCAGGATATAGGCAAAATGTAGACAAGTTCTTTACCAGAATGTACCGTTAAATGGATTCTAGTCCAGTTCTCAGTAGAGTCTTCGTCCCCATCTAAATCCTCCCAAACCTGTCTGGTTTCACTGTCTGCATTCCTGACAGAATCCTGGACTTCTGAGCTTGCACCAGAATCACCCATCAAGCTCTGCTTTCAACATCCTAAACTTTCTCTAGCCTGCTGTTTCAAACATTTCTAGACTCTTAAAAACTATTTCCAAAGGCTTTTGGCACACCCGGTCAGGTATAGACAGTCACAGCAGTGACCATTTCTGGTTCCAAAATCTATATTAACTTTTTGTCACTGGGACAAAATGCCAGGCATGCACAACTCAGAGGAGGAGAAGGGTTTTGGCCCGTGCTTTCAGAGGCTTCAGTGCTTCCAAGGCAGAGACATCATGGCAGAAGGGCAGCTAAGAAGCAGACAGGCTCGGGACAGGAAATAGTCCCCAGGGTCTCAGCCCCTAACCCTCTCCCTCCAGCTAGGCTCCCTGTCCCAAGAGCCCTTTCTGCCATGAAGGTTAACCCACTGATGGGTTAGGAGTCTGCCTGGAGTCTGCCCATCCAGTCAAGTTCACAGACCAGAAGAGGCAGAAGTGAAGGAGTGCAGAGTCAAACTTCTCTCAGCACTAACTCCTAAAAAGTAGGTTCTAAGTTAGAGAATAGGACCAAGATGCACTGCTTTTTCTCATAGGAAATATCTGGCTGTGTATATGAGAGACGGGGAAGGTGGCTAAGTGATGAGTTTATATGAGGCGTGACTGTTGGCTTTAAAAATCATCTCTTGGAAAAATACTGATTGAGGAAATGAAATGTCGCAATTTTTAAAAAATACAAAGGCGTTTTATGGCATTAAATGGAAAAGATTATATTGGTATAGTATGTTTTTGAGTTTGTGTGTGAATGAACAAAAGTCCTGAGGACTTGGTATGCAGCTCCCTGGCTCCATACCTGCCTGGCAAGTGCAAGATCCTGAGTTCATTTCCTGGTTTTTAAAAAAAAAAAAAAAAAAAAAAAAAAAAAAAAAAAAAAAAAACAGGGGATGTAGCTCAGCGGTTCTGTGCCTGTCTGGCAAGTGCAAGGTCCTGAGTTCAATTCCTAGCACCCCCCCGCAAGAAAAACCTTGCATATTTAGTTAACAGCAGTTGTCTGTATGATAATATTGTGGTGATTTAAACTTTCTTATTTATGGCTTCTTCATTTGTCTGAACTTCCTATAGGTGTGTGTTTCTCTTATAAGTAGGAAAAGTAAGTTTTTTTAAAGCTTTATTGAATACCTTTACTCCTTTTAGAATTTCACATGTTTCAAAAATATTTAGAAACAATGACAGCATCACTGAAAAAAATTCATAGCTACCCAAAGCAAATACTGAGAAATACAAGTTTTGTTTTAATATTTAAGCTCAGATATGTTTTTTCAAAGCCATGCTCAAAGCTTTATAGCTAGAACAACTGTGTTTTCACTCATTAATTCTTGGGTAAAATCTCCGAGCTAAAGATGGTGAAAATTTAATTCCTTAGGACTATCTTATGGCATTATCACTACAACAAGAACAGCAGAATCAAGAGATCAATTGGGAAGAAATCCCAGAAGGAATCAGTGATTTGGAGCTAGCAAAGAAACTCCAAGAAGAAGAAGACAGACGAGCTTCTCAGTTCTACCAGGAACAGGAACAAGCAGTGGCAGCAGCTGCTGTGTCTCCACAGGCCCAGGTAAAGCTGGTGTGGTGATCTTAAATATGATGGGTTCTTTAGCAATAAAGAAAATTCTGCTTGGGATTAAAAAAAAATTTAAGTTAGGTATTGACTCTTTTTTTTTTTTTTCTTTTTTATTGAAGTTATTGGTACAATCTAGGTATACAAATACAGTTACATTCATCATTGGGATTCTGTACCTTTACATATTAGGTCTTGATTCTCATTTTTCCCCTTGTCCCTGCCCTCCCTTCATCCCCTGCTCCCCTCCCCATTTACAAACACTTTATTTCCATTTTTTCAGTTTCTCATATTTTTTTCCTCTCCCTTATTACCTTTCCCCCACCCTTCCCACTTTCCTTACACCTTTAGCCCTTTACTTCCTAGTTCACATTATTAATTGTCTCATTAGGATCCTGTGTACTATTATAGTTTTTCACACCAAAGAAACTATTCGGTATTTCAGTTAAAGAAATCTCTGTATGAACATTAAAAATAGGAAATCCTAAAATAAAACTAAAAAGGAAAGTAAAAGAGAAAAGGCAATGATGTAACATCAAAATAATCCTTAATTCTGGAGATGAAAATGGGTCCCTTAACATATTTAAATTGCTTCTCGCTCTTATAGTCTTATCTTATTCTTTTTTCATTATTTAGAGAATACTTTATTAGTTTCTGTAATCAAACCCATGTAGATATGACCTTACATATTTAGAACGATGTGTTACCCCTGTACACATGGAAAAAAAAAATAAAATAAAATAAATTAACATTTCTAGACCAATATGGTTGTCCATTTCTGTACAATGCCAAGTCAACACAGTAAATTGGGATGACTTTTTCCAAAGTTGGCAGCACCGTTAAAGTTTCCCAAAATTCAATTTATATATGTGTGTGTGTGTGTGTGTATGTGTGTGTGTGTGTATATATAAAGACTAATAATAGTATGTTATGCATCGATATCGATAGCAGCAACAGCTTTTCCAGGTTCTCCTTGCCCCAAGGGTTTGTGTTGAAAAGTCTGCTGTGATTCTGATGGGCTTTCCTTTGTATGTGATTTGTTTCTTTTCTCTTACTGCTTGTAGTATTTTGTTCTTCTGTTGGGTTTCTGGGATCTTATTATATGTCTAGGTGTAGATTTTTTCTGATTGTAGCTAGTTGGGGTCCTGTATGCCTCAGTTATCTGAATGTCAAATTCTTCCCCTCTGGGAAGTTTTCTGTCATTAATTCTGCAAACAGCTTTTTTAAGTCATTTGTATGTTCTCCTGCTACTTCATGGATTCCTATCAGTCTTATGTTATTCTTCTTTGCATCATCTAGGAGTTGTTGGATCGATTTCTCCTGATCTCTTACTGTTTTTAAGAGACCTCTCTTTTCATGATCACTGACTGCAATCTTAGCTTCTATATCTGACAGCCTGTCTTCGCATTCTTTTATTCTGTTGCGTACACTTTCAATTGAGTGTTTAATCTCCTGGATATCTGTTTGAATCTGTTTTATGGATTCCCTGTCTTTCCTATGTTGGGCATTTATTTTTTCCATTTCTTTCTTATGCTGGGCCTTCATGGCTTCTATCATGGTCCTGAGCTCATCTATTTTTCTGTCAGTTTCTGCTCTAGAGTCTCAAATCACGACTTCCATTTTGCTCACTATCTCTATGGTTATCTGGGAAATTATTTCTGTTTTGGATTTTTCTAGAGCCTGATTGATCTGTTTTGTTAATTCCTGTGCTTTGAGTTCAGGGTGTCCTGGTGGTTCACTGTTGGCCTTTTCATCCTCATTTGCCCTACTGTTTGCCATTGGTGAACTGGAAGTCTGTCCTTGTGTCTTGCTTAAGTGTTTTCTCATTTTAATTTTTGTTGTCGGACTGTCCTTGGTTTAATCTCTGGATTATCACCCAAATCTTCCTGATATAGTTGCGCCCTAGCTTCTGTGTCTCTAACGACCCACGGACATTCTCATCTTCATAACATCAGAGAAAACAGCTCATCAAATCAATGGCAATGTTTTACCCCAACTGATACAATCAGCAACACATTAGATCAAGCACAACTTGGACACTGACCACCTGTGGTAGTCACTAGTCTATCACCCTTAAATCATTTGAATTAAATTGAAATCAAGAAGCAGTCCAGAACATGTCTGCAGTGAACAAACTTTTCAATATAGTATATTAACCATTTAATGGCTCAGACAGAGCGAGGATGCAAGACCCCTGATCTCAGTTAGCTGATTGCTGAACCCCATGACGCTGACTGACCTCGGGCTGCAAGGCCCAGATTCAGTTCCCCATCCTTCTGAATGGTTGAACTCCGCAATGTTCTATTACAGGTTTCCCCCGCCCTTTCTTTAAAGATGTTCAAAGTTGGGAACTCAGAAAAATACCCTTGATGATGACCACCTCTGTCTTTGCAGAGTGGGTCCAAAGACTTGCACAGTCAGGAGGTCTGAGAGTGAGGGGGGGGGCTTATGGGCGTTACCTTCCCGGCGCTCGAGCAATGGCTGCTGGGTCGGGAGCAGGCGTGGTTCTCCGGTATTGACTCTTTTTATGTTCTGTATATCTGCAAAGAAAGTAAGCTAATTTAAACATGCTAGAGACAGTCTGAGATACCACTGGAAAGAACACAGACTTCAGAGCCAGCTGTAGATTTGCATTGGCTGCTTCTGTTTCTCCTTCCTCCTTGCCATACTTTGGACAAAGCCCTCCACCCCTTGTAGCCTCACTTTTTGTGTGTGTAAAATAGGAGATAATACTTAACTCAGGTTTCTGGAGAAGAACAAACGACACTTAGCCCAGTGCGGACATTCATAAGTATTCAGCAAAGTCAGCACCTTTCCCAAGTTCGCGTCCCCTCAGCTAACGTTTCATGCACTATTTCTTAAATTAGAGGCTGATGTGTGATTTATTTTTAGACATTGCATTTATTTAAAATAATGAATGCATTCATTATTTAACATCTTTCCAGAATGGTAGAGGTTATTATACAAATGCCCTTTAATATAATAAATTTAGCACCAGGTGTGATGGCGCATGCCTGTAATCCTAGCACTCCCGAGGCTGAGGCAGGAGGGTTACCACAAGTTCAAGGCCAGCCTGGGCTACAGAATGAGTTGAATGCCAGCCTGAACTACATCGCAATAGCAAAACCTTCTCTCCCCCACCCCCAAAAAGAAACTTTACCAATAGCTTCTTTTTCCCTTACTGATGTCTTTCACTGCTTTGGGTTTTCATGAGTGACTTGTTATTAAATTTTACCTAAGACTAGTTGAAGTAATTTCTTCCTGTGTATTTTTCCTAAAGCAGGACCAGCTGGCACAAGCCTCTCCATCAGTTGGAAGACAATCTGTGATTAGTGACCGTAAACGCAAGGAACCTCGAGAAAAAGAAAAGGAAAAGGAAAAAAGCAGCTGCATCATTTTATAACAAGTATTGGGTTCTGATGGAACCAACTACAGTGTGTGTCTTAGAAACAAAACCATAAGAGGGAAGGAAGAACAACGACAAATACCGTCTGTGCCTGATTTCCCAATGGATTTTGTTCCTGTTTTTCAGGGGAAAGGTTGTTACTTTGTTACAATCAGACTTTTTAAGTCACACAACACTTTATGAGCTGGAGTTTCATGTTACAAGTTGGAAATGCTGTGTGTTGTCATTCATGAAAATTTCTGCACTTGTAGCCAAATAAGAAAATCACAGCAAATTTTTGTGTCACAGTGACATTCATAACTCATATCAGTTAGTAAGCTATTTTATCTTCTGTTCTAACAATAAATGGAGGTGATTAATTTAGTCAGATTTCTTCCAGAAATTTAAATATTAGCACAATAGTTTCTGAAATTTTTATAATGTTAAATTATGATCTAATCCATGAGAAACCAGGGGTTTAATATAGGGATTAAAAACAGACAAAAAAAATAGGAAAAAATAATTCTTAATTGTATATTGGACTAGTTCAGCCCTTGAACAGCTTTACCTTTCTTTAGTAATGTACATTTTAGATATTATCTTGAGAACTAAGAATGGAGCTTCGATTTCATTTAGATAGAAAAAGTAAAGATTTGTATTTTTTTCCAGTAGCAAAAATTTACATAACACTAATACTTCTAACCTGTCCACATGAGATCTTAATGACTTTTTAGTGTTGTGAAATTTTGAGGAACTCTGAAATCTTCAAATAGGTAATCTGGACCCTAATGACTATTAATAATGCGGTGAGTAGGGCTGGGGATGTAGCTCAGTGGTGCTGCGCCTGCCCTGCAAGCACGAGGTCCTGATTTCCATCCCTGGTACCAAAAAAATAATAATAATGCAATGAGTGAGTTCAGGAGGAAACCACAGTGGATGCGAGGACTTGTACGTGTGTGGAGGGAGAAAAGCAGATAGTTGAGTGTCTACCTTTTTCTAGAATTACCTTTTGAACCTTAAATTTTAAATCATGTTCATTGCTAGAAAATTAAGCATACTTACTAAAGCCAATAAAAAAAGCACATTTCTAAGAGAAAGTTAGAGATAATCTCAGAGTACAGTGAAAGACAATAAAAAATCTGAGCGTAGATGAGAGTTTGGAAGAATTTATGTAAAAGCAATCAGATTTTTTAACTTATGAGAACCAAATAAATCTAAAACATAGTGTTTATAGGATTCAGAAAGAATATTTATTTAACTTTATTATGAGGCAACACATATTTTCCTGTATTTCTAAATATAGTTTTGGAAACTATCCTTAATAGTCCTTTTTATATACTTTATATTTCAAATTTGTTTTAGTCATTTTGAAAAGACTGTTGCTGCTCTAATTACTTGTGTGCTTTACATTCTAAGCCTCAGAAAATTTGTTTATTTAAGAACATCATAATCTGATCTGAGCATCTTTCTTGTGGTCTGGGATGACAAAGACTACAAAAAATACATAATCTAGCTTTTTTTAAGCTATGTTATTAACTTTCTGTGTGATCTAAACCCAGTTATGAGTCTGTATGTAAAAAGTAAGGTTTATTTATAGAAGGAATTTAAAAATCTAGGGCCAATTTATACCCTTCTATGTTGCATTCAGTTTATGTTACATAATTTATTTCTTCAAATTTCCTATGCTAGTATGATAAACAGTCAGAGAACCTGTTTGGGGTATAAAAATCAGACATGAAATACTTGGTGCGTCTCTTATTATAGCCTAGAGTACGTGCTGTGTCACTTTAGGCTCCAGTGCTTCCCTCCCAGGTTCACTCTCCGCAGCGCCCCTCATTTGGAGGCAGAAATAAGCCTCAAGCTTTGTTCTTCCCAGAACAAGTAGTAGTGACGCTGTAATAACAAACCCAGTGTAATAACAAACACAGGACCAGGGTGTAGCTCAGTGGGGAAAAACAAAAACACGATACCTTGACTAAAGCACATCTGAGGTATATTTTTTCCAAAAATATGTTCTCATCTATTTGTCCCATTAATAATATATGTAAAGTTATTCTTTGGTTATTTCCTGTCTTCTTTCTTTGTTCCAAAGATAACACTGCCATTCTGCATTCCCTCTAGAAAAAGGAGGAAACAAACACTCAAAACCGGCAGAGCTGCTATCAGATAAGTAGATGTTAATGTATAGTTATGAGGAAAAACTAAACAATGCATTTTGTTAATTCAGTCTTTTTCTATGTAATATTTCCAAGGCAGACTTTATTACATTCCTAGAATTCAATTTGATATACCAAGAATAATAATGATGTTTGCTTACTGTGGGGGAAATTAAATATTCAATTCTATTAAAACAAACTAACTTCTCAGAGATACTGCTTTCTTGTCTGTGAAGGTTATAAAGAATTTAGAGCTAGAGCCGGGCGTGGTGGTGCACGCCTGTAATCCCAGCACGTAGAGATCCTCCTGCCTCAGCCTCCCGAGTTTGAGACCAGCCTGGGCTACATACATAGTGAGTTCCAGGTCAGTCTCAACTACATAGTGAGACTCTGTCTTAAAAAAACAAAAACAAAACAACAAAAAAACCCCAAGAACTTAGAGCTGTTGTGTCTTTATTTCCTCATACTTTTGTTTTAGGTAACAAATTACATATTCAGCCATTTTATTGCTGGTTTGGGTACATAGGAATTTGATAAGGATATTTAAAAATGGTTCTTTTTCCACATTTTCTAGTGCTTGAATTTGTTACACACTGCTAGCACGTTAAGAATTTAAACATAATTTTGATTTTTAAGATTTGTAGGCTATATTGCAGACTCCTTTGAATCAACCAGCTCACTGTTAGAACCACAGAAGAGGCAGACAGCCACGGATCAGTTACCATGCTTTCCTCGCACATGCACCTGTCCTGGCAGCCTGTTAGCAGTAGGAAAGCATTCTTCACTCAGTCTGTGACTTACAGTGGTTCCTCAGTTTGTAGGAGCATTGATTGTGTGTGCTTCTGAAGCAAGGCCCATGACTTCCATAGAGTCTTGAAACAATCAGAACTTTGTTCAAATTTTAAGAACCACCATTTTAAAAATACACACACAAGGGCTGGGGATTTAATTTAGCTCAGTGGTTCCAGTGCCTGTCTCGCAAGCCCAAGGACCCGAGTTCGATCCCTGGTACCAAAAAATAAAAAAATTTTAAAAACCACAAAGGCACTGAGATGTAGCTCCGTGGAGAGTAGGTGCCTAGTGTGCACAGCACAGGGGTTTGATTCCCCAAAACCACACGTGTGTACATGCTCACTGAGCAGTGGTGTGGGCAGCTACAGGGACGTCTTCCGTGTTTCAAGGTCAGAGGCTCAGGTTCAGGACTGACTTGTGGGATATGTCTTGTTTTTCTGATTTCTTGCATGAGACTGTTTGGTTTTGGTGGTTGTTTGCTTGTTTATTTTTGTGAGAGAGGGTCTCACTATGTCGCCCAGCTGGCCTTGAACTCTGTTCTGTCCTCAGCCTGCCAAGTGCTGGGATTCTTGGCGTCTGCCACTGTGCCTGGCCCATAGGATGTTTTGGATTCTTAATTTGGGCTTCCTAATTTGGCTTAACTAAGCAAATTAAATCAAAGATTAATTAACTGAACCCAACATTAACCATTTTCACTTACAAAGATCCTTCTTAGCAGTTTGTTTTTAGTGAATCTAAACTCATTCTCTGAAGAGACAGGAGATCTTGGGAGGAACTTGGGAGGACTGGGAGGTAAATGCTCACTGAAAGCATACTTGTGATCCCTGCATTAATGCTGGATAAAGCTGCTTTTGTAAAATCCTGTGGGAGAAAAATTAAGAATTTCCAGAACTGTCCTCAAACAATGTCATTTAAGTGTGTTGAAAAACCAAATTGATTACATCTTGTTTAACTTTCTTATTTGTTGTGTCAGTCTTAAGCATACAATTTATTTAGAGGGTTACCAGATACCGAACTCAGGACCTTGCACTTGCGAGGCAGGCAGTGGCACCCCTGAGCTAAATCCCTGTCCCTTAAGCATACAATTTAAAATATAACTGAAAACTTACTAATATTTGGCAGAATAACAGGAAAGCATTAAAGATTTCCTCACAGCAATCCTCCTGCCTCAGCCCCCTAAGTGCTGGGATTAAGGCGTGCGCCATCATGCCCGGCTTAGATTATTTTTTTTTAACAATACTGGGGATTAAACCCAGGGCCTTCTCACTGAGCTATATCCTCATTCCTTTGTAATATTTTATCTTGAGACAGAGTAATCACCAGAGTTTGAGGCCAGCCTGGGCTATACAATGAGTTCGAGGCTAACCTGAACTACATAGCAAGACCCTGTTTCAAAAAAAAAAAAAAAAAGTCTTAATAAATAATAGTCTGTGATTGGAATTTTAAGGAACTGGACGTGTGGAAAAATGAATTATTTTGTGTTTAAAAACCTTTCTTTCCCTGGGGAAACTTCCATTCCTCAGTATACTCTTACATAAAAGATGCTTTCTTTTTATTGTTTTGCACTCCTGAACAAAAGGCATAGTATAAACACAAAAAGTATTGCTTCAGTTATCACAAATATTAGACATTTATTGTGTGCAGACTTTTTTCCCAGTGACTTGCTAGTTTTTTTATTTATTTATTTTTATTTGTTTTGCTTTTTTGAGACAGGGTCTCACTATGTAGTTGAGACTGACTTGGAACTCACTACGCAGCCCAGGCTGGTCTCGAACTCACAGCGATCCTCCTGCCTCAGCCTCCTGAGTGCTGGGATGCGCCATCATGCCTGGCTGACTTGTTAGTTTTTAAAATGCTGTCAGAATTTATAGAATTACCTTGTCTTTGAGTACAGCATCATGTCTTCCCAAAATGTATTTTACAGTGGCTTTTGTGCTTGCTGGATTTTTTTTTTTTTTTTCAGTTTTTTAGTTTTTTGAGACAGGGTCTTGCTATGTGGTTGAGACTGACCTGGAACTCACTATGTAGCCCAGGCTGGTCTCGAACTCACAGCGATCCTCCTGCCTCAGCCCCCTAGTGCTGGGATTAAGGCGTGCGCCATCATGCCCGGCTTAGTTTTTTTTTTTGTATTTTAACAATACTGGGGATTAAACCCAGGGCCTTCTCACTGAGCTATATCCTCATTCCTTTGTAATATTTTATCTTGAGACAGAGTAATCACCAGAGTTTGAGGCCAGCCTGGGCTATACAATGAGTTCGAGGCTAACCTGAACTACATAGCAAGACCCTGTTTCAAAAAAAAAAGTCTAATAAATTCATATATATATATTTTTTTTACATGATGTATCCTAGTTTCTAACTTCTCTATTCTGATCTGAAAATTAAACTCGAAAAACAGGGTAAAAATTCCAGCTGTTGCCTCCAGTGCCGCTTTGTCTTACTGTCCTGAGAAGGGGGATTTGCACTTGTGTAACAGGTATTCTTTGAGGCATGGAACTGTTCCAAATGAGGTATTTAAATACCATGGCAGAAATACAAAACCCGAGCTTTTAACTGCAATAGATCTAAAGGCAAAAAATGCGTTATTATTCTAGCTGATTCTTTGTGATATTCTCTAAGGATTTCTTGAAATCACTTAATTTGTTAATGGTGTAACTTTAACGTTTTCTGGCCCTCTGCACTGAAATTATCTTGCTTTGAGATGCAGGGTTCCCTGGAAGAGGATCCTGGCTCCTTTGGCTCTAGTAGTTATTTTATAGCTTCTGTAGTAGGTGAGGACACTGATCCCACAAGCAGGGACCTGTCCCGGTAGGCACTGTAGTTGCAATGCCCTCACAGCAGTTACGGTAACAGGTGTGACAATTATGCCTCTCTGCTTTGTCAATTTTCGTTCCTTATTATGTATCAGTTGTGTGAAATGACTGAAACTTCCTCTGAACACAGAATATTAGCTCAGCAGGCTTTTTACATGAGGCTTTCAAAAGCTTCCCCGGTGGTTTTGCTTTGGCTCTTTTCCTGTTAGACAACCATTGTCTCAGACCCCAGCAGACCGCAGTAAAAGGAGGTTGGTTGAGATCACGGTAAAGGACGAGCTTGGCTTGTTAAACTTCAGCAGCACCCGGAAAGCCACTCCCCAAGGTAGAACCAGTGAATCTTTTTGCTTGAATTGTGCAGGGATCACTGGATCTTGAGGAATAGCAAGTGAAGTGGCATAATGACTGCAGAGAAAGTAGTCCTGCAATACAGCAAGAAACAAATTTTCTTCCTCCCCCCTTTACCATCGGGAGTAATGAGGGAAGAGCTGCTGACGTGAATCTCTGCCGGGCCAGGGCTCCAACAGAGTTCTTCAAGGATTTAAGTACACAGACTGTGCCTGAGTGCCTTTCCCCGTCCTGTCCTCCTCAGTACCCTTTGTACTTCTGAAGTAACTCGTGTTCTGCTTTGTGGCCAGCTTTAATTTCACTTACAGAATTGTAGCAACCCTAGAGATTCGCAGGAAAGCACTGCACCACACCGAGCAGAGGTGCCTAAACCCATCCACCCAGGCTAGGGTTGGGCTGATGTCTAGAAAATAAATGTTTTAAGAGCTAAGGATGCTCAACTACTTAACTCTAAAAACTGTGTCTTAAGTTTCAGAAGTTTCACTGTTGACAGATACTCCTCAAAAGGCATTTTGAATATAGGTGGGAAAGTATAAAATATTTCTGACAAAATTATTCAGTATTATTCAACATTTAATTCACATTTGTTATTGTACTACAAGTACGGTGTCAATGTTGGATTCGGATGTTTTATGTTTTTGTTAATACACTTAAAACTGTAATCAGTGAATAACACCCGTAGTATTTTTTATTATAGATTATATTTTATTTCAATAAACTTTGATACTTAGATCAAACAGTCTTTCTGATATATTCATCTCATTAAGCTATTTCTTAGTGAGCTAGGGAGAGTGAGGAGGTGGGGTGTTGACAGACTGACTCATTTACCTAGGATTAAGTCTTAGAATACTTACACCAGAGGCTGGGGATTTAGCTCAGTGGTGCTGCCGCCTGCTTTACAAGTGCAAGGTCCCAAGTTCAATCCCCGGTACCAAAAAAACAGCTTACACCAACATTTTTTGGGTTGGGGGAGTACCAAAAATCGAATTCAGGACTTTGAGCTTGTGAAGCAGGCGGGGCGCCATTGAGCTAAAAACCTGACTACCCAAACTTTTGATAAATGATTTTCCCCACACACAATAGGAGTAAATA